GTGCAGATGCACCACATCTGCGTCACAAACCTCCGAGTATCCACGTCCGACTTTGTCACAGCTTCCCAGCAGAGAAATAAAGGCTCAGCAACATAAAGCGAATAGTGTCACTTTAAATACCACAGCTGTGCCATAAATCTCACAACTGATATCAGTTGGATTTGTCAGCAATGAAATAGGACCCACTTCAGAAAACAGGGAGAATGTGTATGTGTGTGTTGATGCAACTTCCCACAGAATTTCAACTTCCCTGAAAGTCTTTTCTTCTTTTTCAGTAAAAATCCAATCATACCTCGACCGTCTTTTAATGGCTTCCTGACCTTTCAACTCTGTGAAAGTCTTACTATCAGACTTTTTTCTACTTCTATTTTTTTCCATTTTCTTTTCAAAGCCATTGTAAGATAATGATGAAAGAAAGACAAAGTGTGGCTGAGAAGCAGAGACTTTCTTATATTTAAGGACGTTTTTGGTTTTTTTAGACTAATAGTCAAAGCGATATTTAGAGATATCTGTGAATAAGAGCACTGGTAGTATAAAGAATTCCTATTAAATTAAACACATAATATATAATACTGTAAAATGTTACACTTTCCTCATAAATGAACTAAAAACAGTTTCAAATGCTTATGACCTCTGAGCATCACTGGTGACCTTGTAGTTAGAGAAAATAAAGTTAATTAACTTAACAATTAACGTCTGCCAGACAGTCGAGTAGCAGAGGGAAATTCTCGGGCAGCACATGATCACTGGCATCAACAATCAATGAGAGTATTTCAAATTCAGCTTGACACATTCAACATTTGCAGTGACGTTAACGAGGCAGCGAGGCATCCAGACAGATATTGATGATATCCATCAATACACGAGCACCCTGGGAAATTTGGCCAATTTTAAACCATTTTCTATAAACCACAGCCTGCAGATAAACATGCAGCAGGTATGAGCTAGAAATAAATACGCCGCAAAAAGACACAATAAAAGAGGCAGCTGCTGAGAGTATGTGTGAGAAAACTGACAACCAAGCAAACAAAACGACAATCCAATGTCATGCTCCATTTTCAGGTTCCAGCTTCAGCTCAGCTCTGCTTCTGAAAAGCTGAGCGCTTCTCTGCTGCACTGAGCAAGTATCTACGACTATACTGGGTCATTTTGACTGATTCGTATTTTAAAGCAAGCCGATCATTTAATATTACATAACTACACTGTTTTAGAACCATGTAGTTACAAGCTCTGAAACAAAACTGTATAAAAATACATTATACCTTTGTTGTGGCTCACAATTAACTCTCACTGAGCACACAAAAAACAAAAAAGCTGACGATGTAAAATAAAATCCATCGAGACAGCTGCTGGAAAACACAGGTTAAGTAGTTCTACACAAACCAAATAGTTCCCTGTTTCTTCTTCAGCTCTTTGATCCATTTACAAAACCAAATGAGTAAAATATGTTTGAAAAAAAAGTGTTTAGAAGTTCTTTTTGCTACATATGTTTCTATTCAGACTCTAAGCTAGCCTTGATTATTTTGGCTAATTGGCTTTTATAAGGACGTACAATTTTAGTGGAAGTCAGATGATGGAAAATCACCAAAAAATCTGTTTTAATAAAATAAACACAAGATCACAGAAATATATGCTTCAAGCTGGGAAATGAAAACAGACTTATATGAATTCATATTCACATTTTTTACATCCAAGACGGCTTCTTGGTTGTTAGCCAGCAAGTTGCAACTTAGGTAAGGTGCATCAACCTGGTGATGGTCAGCTCAGAGCATAATGGAGAGTTTGGATTCATGGTCTGCAAACCGTTCCTGTAGGCTAACATTCCCAGGGTCCCTAATGGTAACACATGCTATACTGATGCTGACTCTATTTTTCTCAACCCTCTTTGTTTTTGCTCACATGGGCTATTGTATTTTCTATTGTGTTGTTTTCTATTTCCTCCAATCCTTAAATCAAAGAAACCAAAAGCCAAACGCAACCATGCAAAGAATTTGAAAATATTTCATATGAACAACTGAAATCACTCATTTAACATTATTAAAAACAACATGCAGTAGATTTGGTTGATCCTTAGTTGGCAGAGATACTTAGTCCCACTAGTCCCAGTATATCATTTGTGTACATTAACCCTGCATTTTCCACTTCTCCTGCCTGTTGCTAAGCAACTGGAGGTGAAAGGTCACCAGAAGGGCCATACACTGTTCATTCCTGTCTGCAGTTCGTTGGTGGGGGAGGATTGTTTGATTATTAAATGACAGTCCCACACAGACTTCCCCACGGCCCAACATCTAGAATGTGTGTTCGTGAGCACTCACCTTGTGTGTATTTGGTTTGATGCACCGGATAAAATATGGGTTGGAAGTGCTGAGCGTGGCCATCAAGGAGTGCAAAGAGTCCTGTAAGAAAATAAATGGGTGTAAACACTTTAGTTACTGCCACTATTACAGCCGTCTGAGCACAGAGAGCGTCAGACACTATAGACAGAGATGCTCCTGCTCCACTATTTTCCAGCCTGCTTTGAGGATGCAGGCACAGTTGGTACCCTCACTGAGTGAGCTCCACAACCAGCAGGGTACACGAATACAGGACGAAGCCCTGCGTTTGCCGTCTGATGATGAAATTTATGTCACTTTGACCTTTTTTTTAACTTGTAATCTTTACAAACATTTACAACACGTCCAGTACTAAAGGTGTGTGAACATGTGCAGAAGCTACCGTGACATCCAACAGAAGCACTCGGAGATAACGACTCTCTATACATGTCATTCAGTCCTTATAGTATTATTACAACTTGTACAACATTGCTGCTACAACCACTGTTTCTGTTACTATGTCAGCTCAAACTCTTATTATAACAACTACTGATGCTGTAATAACCACAGACTGCAATTTCCTGGTCTGTAAAGAGAAGCCTATGAGAAAGTACCTCAAACATGTATTCTTTCTAATGGCCAGCAGGGGGAGACTCCTTGGCTGCAAAATAAATCTTTGTATAGGATTCTATGCAAAAATGACCCTACTTTTAAATTGATCTATTATCATAGCGTCTCCTTCTTTTAATTACTATCGCAACCATTATTTCTCCAAGTCACATGTTTTTGCTTTATCTGGAAAAACTACTTTACTCAAGCACTCTCTATTACTTTCAAAGTAGTCGCTGCTGCTACCACAAGAACTGCACATTATTTAATAGGTATTAGTTAACAAATGTTTCTGCTGTTGCTCCTAATGCAATTCTTCCTATTATCACTCTTTCTTTTACTGCCTCTCTTACTAAGATTTGTGCCCCTGTAGCAAAACTCCCACTGCTGCTAATAAATAGCTTTTGGTGGTTTCTACACACCTGTGCAACTTTCCCAAAAACAGATCAAGCAGCTGCAGCATTCAGCACTGCTAGAGAACAATTCAGGAAGACTTTAAAGTAAACACACTTTTTATTTGCGACTTACCTTAAACTGGGTGCTGACTGTGGGCCGTCTGTGTTTGATGCTGCTCTTCAGAGTGTCCTGTTTGTTCCGGCTCAGGACGTGTTCAAACAGATCGTAGACAAAGTCCAACCTGACAAATAGAAGCAAATAGTGTGATGTGGAATTCGCAGTGCAAATGCAAAAATGAAATAAACTGACAATAGTGTTGTTATTTAATACTATTGATGACCCTCTTTATGTGGGACTGAATAGCATTTTTATAGCTTCGCCTCCGTCCCACATTTTAAGTGGTTCTGCAGAACAAGTGCTTTTCTAAAGGTTAGCTTTTTCCCAGTATATATGAAAGGAAGGGTTTTTATTCAGGAAGGTCAGCCTGTCTGATGCGATACACATCAGGGACAAAAACAAATCACAAAAAGTCTCTAGCTTTACAGATTTTGTTGAATGTGATGGGAAATGAAGCCGCTGTTTATTCTGAGAAATAAAGTTTTTGCCTTTTTTGCTAGAGTTATTTTTCAATTTCACACAGGGGGAAATATGATATCTGCTAAACGTGTCAGATGTGGCTCAGAAATGTCACTTAATCTCTAAATACAGAAGCTGATATAACGGTGAAATAAACTCAGACATTCAGTCTCTGCATTGTTGACATGTCTCACTTTCTCCCACACAAACGGTGTTTGCCCCACATTTAGCTGGCTGGGATCTGGTCACCCTAGTTAATGCTTACAGTGCCAGCCCCAACAAAGTGAAGGTTAAATAAAAGTCAGTTCTGATCAATCAATTTGAAAAATCACATTTTTGTCCAATTTCTAGTTTTCAGTTTTTGATTATTGGTGTGAAAAAAAAAA